ATGATGATGATGATGATGATGATGATAATAATAATAATAGTGATAACAATAAGAATGATAACAATAATGATAATAATAATAATGATAATAGCAGTAATAACAGTAATGATAATGATATTGATAGTAATAATAGTAATAACATCAACATCAACATCAACAACAACAATAGTAATAATAATGATAATAATAAAAATGATAACAATGATGAGAGTAATGATGATGTTAATAATAACTGTAATCATAATGATAATGATAATGATGGTAATCATAATAATGACAAGATTAATAGTAATAATAATGATAATAGTGATGATAATAGAAACAATGATAATATTGATGGTAAGAACGATTTTGATGACGATAATATTGAAATTGATAATGCTACAAATAAAAACAGAAATAATGTTAATGATAATACCAGTGATAATAATGATAATATTAGTAATAACAATAATAACATCAGTAATATTATATTGAGGATAATAGTCATAGTGATACTGTTAGTGATACTTATCCTAAAAGCGATAGTGATCAAATGGACAATAAAAAAATAAGAAAATAGTCATCATAAAGCTATTATTAACAACAAACCCCGCATTACCTTAGACGAGAAAGACAGCCTTAATCAAAACCCTCGATAAAGCGGACGATGATAACAAACACGATAACGAATGTACAAATAAACGGACTATCGACGATACCTCCCACAGAGTCCTGAAGGAGTAATGACGACGGTTACGAGACATTTGATAGGATCGGAGCGCCTCGGGCAGGGGGGGGGGGGGGGGGAGATGGTGGTGGAGGTGGAGGTGGGGGAGGATGTGGTGGAGGTGGAGATGGTGGTGGGGGTGGAGGTGGAGGAGGTGGTGGAAGTGGAGGAGGATGTGGTGGAGGAGACGGAGGAGGGAGATATAGAGGAGGAGGAGAAGTTCGAGGAAGGATAGGCGGAGGAGAAAGGAAAGGCAGAAGGAGAGGAAGGGGGAAGGGAAAAGACGAATGAGGTAGGAGAAGGAGAAACGGGAGAAGGAGGAAGAGGAGGAGGTGGTATGGAGGAAGAAGAATAAGTAAAGAAGGAAGGAAAAGAGGAGTTAAGAGGAGAATGGAAGCAGGAACAATAAGAAGGGGGAAACGAAGGAGAGAGGAAGAGAGGAAGAGACTGGCGGAGGAGGAGGGGTGGAAGCAGAAGGGAGGAGGAGGCAGAGAGCATAGGAGAGGTCGCCAAAGGACATTCAACCTTAAAGAGAAAGAGAGAGAATAAACACAGAAAAGAGTAAACGTTAAGAACGGCCAATAAAAACACCCAATCTGACCCTCCCCCCCCTCCAAAAAAGAGAGAGAGAAAAAAAGTGAAGAAAAAGGAAATGAAAGAAGGCTTGATAAAGGACATTTAACCTAAATCTTAGACCGAGAGGGACGACCTGCAAAACAAACCTTCCTACACACTTGGTTAATGCACTTTAAGGCTCTTTTGGACATTTATTATGCAAGGAATTCTGACCTCTATGACATCTGGCGTTCGGGGGTCGTCGCTATCAACACGGGCTTTTATATAGAGACCTTAATTTTCCTCATTTTTTTCCCCCTAAGGTCTGTTCTGTATTTTCCTCGACCGGGGAGGGGTGGGGGGGGAGGGCACAGGCGGAGGGGAAGTAATATGGATTAGAAGGAAGGGAAGAAGAAGGAGAAGAGGAAAATCGAAAAAAAAGAAGAGGAAAAGGCTTTGAAAAAAAAAAAGACTTAAAAACAAAACAAAACAAAATTTAATCAAATACAGAACAAAAAAACATAACCCTAAAACATAACAAACAAACTACACCCCCAATAAAACAATCAAAACAAACAAACAAACAAACAAACACGCAAGAATAATCTTACCCACCCCCCCAAAAAAAAGAAAAAAAAAGAAAAAAAGAAAGAAATGTAATGACAAAACAATTAAAAGAATCCCATGTAGACTTATGCAAGGAAGACAAGACGGCGAGAGGCGAGGCGAGTCCTTACAAGGCTATTTGGGGCAGGGTAAGTGCCCACGGGTCGGGCGGGGGGGGAGGGGGGTAGGAGAGGATAGGATGGCTGAGGTTGGGGTGCACCAGGCGCGGGTATCCTTTCGGGGAAGGGGGTGGGGGTGGATAGAAAGAGGGGGGGGGGTGAGTGGATAGAAAGAGGTGGAGGGAGTGAATAGAGAGAGAGGAAGGTGGATAGAAAGAGGGGGGGGGTGGATAGAAAGAGGGGGAGGGAGTGAATAGAGAGAGAGGAGCGTGGATAGAAAGAGGGGGGGGGTGGATAGAAAGAGTGGAGGGAGTGAATATAGAGAGAGGAGGGGGATAAAAAGAGGGGTGGGGGGGGAGGGATTCTATAGAGGGAGTGGGCCGGGATGGAGAGAAAGGGGATCGGAGTCAGATAGAGTAGGGGGAAGAAAGGGATATAAATAGATAGGGGGAAAAAGAGGAAGAGAACAGAACGACGAGTGGGGGAGGGAGGGGTAAGATAGAAAAAAGGGGAAAGAGAGACGGAATGGATAGAGAAAGGGGGTGAGGGGATAGATAGACAGATGGGGAGATGGAAGTGATAGATAGAAGGGAGGAGAGGGAGAGAAGACAGAGATAGATGGGAAGAGGAGGATATGAGATGAAGGGGGAGGAGGAGGAGAAATAGGAGAAGGAGATAGAGATGGATAAGATGGAGACATGGAGTGATGGACGATAACTAGACAAGGAGGCGCAGACGTGGAGAGAGTGGGAAGGAAGGAGGGGAAGAAGAGAGAGAGACAGAGAGAAAGATTAAAAGAGAAAGAGTTAAAAGAGAGAGCACAAAACTGAATGAGCGAGAAAAAGGAGTAGACTAGAGAAAAAGAAGAAAATCAGAAGGGAAAGAGTAAAATGCAAAGAAATACAAAGGCCGCGTCGAGCATCATCGCTTCCCGCCGAGAGCTTCTGCCTCTCTGGGAAGCCAATATTACAAAATCATAATACTTATCCTTGTAAACGGCAGACCATGATTCGCATTCTTACCAGACGCTGCGAGGAAGACAAAATGCACTTGTAAGCACTTGAGCGCGGAGAAATGCACTCATGTACACGTACACACATACGCACACGGACACGCATAGTACACGTACACGCACATGGATATGCACACGCACGCACACACACACACACACACACACACACACACACACACACACACACACACACACACACACACACACACACACACACACACACACAAGTGACCACATATCAAGGAGTAAGTGATATGCCATGGCAACACAAGCCAGTGCCACAGCCTGGGAGTGCCAGGTGTTTGCCCCGAGGCAACATGACACTCTTGTCTGGCAAATGAACCTCCAGCACCCACACTCTCCCTCCCCCCCTTTCTTCTCCCTTTCTCCTCTCTCTTTCTCCTATTTCCCCTCTTCTCTCTTTCTCCCTTTCCCTCCCTCTCCTAATCTTTCCCTTTTGGCGACTTGATGTGTAATTTTATATCAACAAACAACCCACTTCCCTTTATCCTTTTCCCTTCTCCTTACCCTCTCCTTTACCTCTCCCCTGCTCCGTTTCTCTTCTTTCCTTCTCCCCACCTCATCCTCTCCCTTCCTCCGTTTCTCTCCCTTCCTTCTCTCCAAATTCCCCTTACCCTGTCCGCACTTTCCCTTCCCTTTTTTTCCCAAAAGGGAATTTTCTTCTTCCTCTCCCTTTCCTTCTCCACTTCCATCTGCTCTCTCTTCTTCCTTCTCTTGGATATTCTAAAATGATCCAAAACCAGTGCTTTGGAACAGGGTCATGACCTGAGACATGACTTTGAATATCAGTGACACTGATTGTGTTTCCGTCTCTCTCTCTCTCTCTCTCTCTCTCTCTCTCTCTCTCTCTCTCTCTCTCTCTCTCTCTCTCTCTCTCTCTCTCTCTCTCACACACACACACACACACACACACACACACACACACACACACACACACTCACACACACACACACACACACACACACACACACACACACACACTTACACATATATGCACACACACAACCAGACGACTGTGTATAGAAACTTAACGTTTCAGAGATCATTTAACTTCCCCATCTTTTCTTCTTCTTCTTCCTCCTCCTCCTCCTCCTCCTACTCTTCTTCCTGTTCCTGCTCCTCCTCCTCCTCCTCCTCCTCCTCCTTCTCCTCCCCCTTCTCTTCCTCGTCGTCATCGTCGTTCTCCTCCTCCTCCTCCTCCTCCTCCTCCTCCTCCTCCGCCTCCTCCTCCTTCCTCCTTCTCTTCCTTGTCGTCGTCGTCGTCCTCTTCCTCCTCCTCCTCCTCCTTCTCCTCCTCCTCCTCCTCCTCCTCCTCCTCCTCCTCCTCCTCCTCCTCCTCCTCCTCCTCCTCCTGAATTTCATCTTCAATATTTATCTTTTTCTTCCTCCTCTCTTTTTTCCTTCTCGAGCCTATGATAAATCTTCCTCCTGATTGTTATGAAGAGAGACGCCAAGGTCATTTGTTCTTAAGGTCTGTCAAGGTAAACCGTTAATTATTCTATCACCGAGCTTTTGTCTTGTTTTCGTATGCATTTATGTCCTTTATCTTGGATTGTGTTTTTGTGCGCTCTGTTGTTTGGCTAAAGTGTTATTGTGCAGGAGCCAGTGATTTCTCTTTCTGTTTACTCTCTGTCTCTGTCTCTCTCTGTCTCTCTCTCTCTCTCTCTCTCTCTCTCTCTCTCTCTCTCTATATATATATATATATATATATATCTATATATATATATATATATATATATATATATATATATATATATATATATGTATGTATTTATAGTTTTTTATATCCATATGGTTGTTTATTTGAATAGCTATCTAGCTAGCAAGCTAGTTCTCGGCATCTATATAAAAACAATCGTTAGTTTATATAAATATTTATGAATGCATTTCTTACTTACTTCTTTATTCCCTTCTCTTTATTTCCTGGCCTTTTCAGAATAGTTCGCACCAACTAACGTTTCCTTTTTCTCCCTCGCAGCGGGGCGTCATACGAGTGGGCGACGCAGTGTACTTCCTAGAGCCGCTGGAGGATAGTGCGGAGTATAGTGAGAGTGCCAATAGCGATAGTGATGATAGTGACGATTTTGTGGCGACGGATTATGAGATATTCGACGGCACTGAGCCCAGGCTTCACTCGTTCCGGCGGACGGCGGCGCGCGACCTGTGGCGTCAGGGACAATACCACCAGCACCACCAACACCATCAGCACCAACACCACCACCATCACCATCACAGCGAGGAAACGCCTGAGGAAAATGAGATCGACGACGATGACGACGACGAAGCGCCCTCGTCTGCTGAGTCGTCGTCGTCGGGTCGTCAGAAGCGGGAGGACGTCGAGGTTCACAACTGCGACGCGAAGG